TCGAAATCTTATCGGAATGTCTTAAAACTTGCTACAGGGGGTTTTTTGTGGTCGCTGATTACGAATCTGAAGATAGATTTTAAAAATTCAAAATGGTGGATCCAATATGGCGGACAATATTGTGTCAAATAATCGGATTGGCTTGAAATTTGTTACTTTATGATTTTTGGTCTCACTGATCACGAATTTAAAGTTAGATTTCAAGTATTCGAAATGGCAAATCCGATACAGCCAGAATAAAAAATACGCCTGTAGTGAGCCTACATAAAATGTAGTTTCCTAAGCCCACCTGGAGGAGGCTACACTACGAATTTAGACTTCACTTTTTGAAGTTTTTGGCATCTGTATATTTTTTTGTTTTTCTTTTTATGTTTATAATTTTCACAATTTTACTGTTTTATCTTTTTTTTGGTATTTTGTATTTTTTTTTATTTTTATATTTTATTACAAATTACGAATTTAGACTTCGCATTTTTATTTTTAATTTTTTGTTTAATTCTGTTTTTGTTTTTGATATATTTTTATTTTTTTCTAATTGTGAATTCTAGCTTCACGTTTTTTTTTTTCATTTTAAAATTTTTTTTTAGATTTTTATTTTTTTGTCAATTACGAATTTAAACTTCGCTTTTGTATTTTTTTTTTGTTTTATTTATTTTTGTTTGTTTTTTATTTTTTTTAATTTTTTTATTATTTGAGTATTTTTTTAAGTTCATCAAATTAGGGTGATTGAATGCTTCTTTCAGAAAAAAAATTTAACTTTTAATTTTAAAACAAAATATTTTTTATATTTATATTTATTTATTTATTAATGGCAGATGTAACGTAAGACCTTTAGTCTTTCCATTGCACAAATTTATCATTTAAATTTTAGATTTGAAACTTTTTTAGACCTTCACTAACACTAATATATCATAATCCAGAGTAAAGGCTAAGTATATACAGTGACGAGCAAAACTGTAACATGGTTTAACACTTTTTGTTTCAGCCACCGCTATATTTCCAAGTTCTAACGACTTTCATCCTTTTGTTGAATATTCTTCTTGGTACGTCCCTACTCCCTCTCTCATAATGATTTGAAGTCAATACAACAACAATAAAAAAACCAGCAGACCAAAATGTAAATTAAGGCAGATGTTACAGTTTTGCACTCACNTTGGTCGCTCGCCATTTTCTGCAAGCCTTCCAAAGCTTTTGTACATCACCAACGGAAGAACCTCAGTGTAATATCTGAAGTTGTCGCTCGTGGTTGTAATAAATTCGATGCGGTGCGCGGACGGTAGTAATTAGTCAAATCTATTTAAATTTGTAGTGAATAGAAGTGCAGAAGTGAAGCAACTTCAAAGATGGCGGAATGATGAAAAATGTGTTAAACAGGGCATTTTACTAAAAAGCAAGTATTAATATCGCGTTTTGCAAAATTAAGTGAAAATCCGTGAAAATTATGTATGTAGGTGTTTGCAGCCTATTTAAAATGGCCACCAGTTGCGTTGGCGTTGCTGGTCGTTACTTTTGCAAATTTCCGGTGCCGTTTCGTTTTAAAAGCTCATCGTTCGTTTCGAAAACCGTGTCCGTGGCGCGCATGAAATGGTTCGTTTTAACATTAAACTTTAAAAGCTTGAATAGCCGCAAGCTCAATAAATGTTTCTCTGTTTAAAATATAGGAAACACACGCACCTTCCAACAAGCATGTATGTAAGTGTTCTTAATAGTAACTTAAAGTAAGCTTGCTATATTTAATTAATTATTCGTGTTAAATAAGCGTTTTAAGTATTAAGTTTATTTTTAATTTTTTTTTTTTCAAATGAACCTTTTATAAATGTTGAGAGCGAATATCTATAAATCCTAAATTCTTGCCGTTTTTTTTTCAAACTACTGAAATTAAAAAAAAATGCAATTGTTTCCCTACGTATCGGCATGACTACTTCCTTCTTAAAGAAAAACACATTTTTTTAATCGTAACACTTTTTTTTAACTTCTTGGTTTTTTTAATTTTCGAAAATTAATCCGAAATATTAACCTTATCTACGTTAAATACGATTGTTCTTATAACGTTCAATCTGGGTCAGAAAAAAATTTATTTCCTTCTAATCCTATTTTTTCGACTGTTAGCCCTTAAGCAAAAGTAAAATTATTTACGTAATTTAAGTTCTGCTTTAAATTAATCGCGTCTTTGAGTGATTTAAATAATTTTTAATTAATAGTAAGATTAATCAAGCAGTGGGACAGCCCTAATAGAAAGCTTTGAATAAATTCTACATAGCACTGCTTGGAATCAAAACTTTCATTTGAAGGACCGCCTAAGCGCAAAGTTAGTTCCAAACCTTAGAGAAAATTAATATTCGTTAAGCTCGTTTCAGCACTTGCAATGAAAATTACCCCTTTTGGTAGCTTTTAAAGCACAAGCTCCACATTTTACTACTCACAAAGCTCCTTTGAGGAGCAACGCGAACACATTGTCGCTTTGACAGCTCAACAGCTGATGCACTCCATGCGAAAATAAAACAAACACCTATAGGCGGGAAATTGAAACAAAAAAACACACGAAGAGCACCCAGAGTCAAAAATAAAGCAAGAGCAAGTCAAAGCACAATGAAATTAACAGTGTGACCAGATGATCACAAAAAGCGAAGCTAAATTGGTTTTGAAAAAAGGTTAGAAAAAGCTATACGTTAAAAAAAGTAATAAGTTATAAAGAAGTCAGTGTATTCATTACTCAAAAACTCTTCGCCCACTCGATAAGTTGCGCGATAGCGATTTTCTGGAAAAAAATTTTTAAATCATTCTCATCAAAACACACAATAACATACATACATACACATGTACGTAAATCAAGCTTATAACGGCTGCAAAATTTCAGGACATGCAAAAAGGAGTTCAGTTTAAAAATAGAAAACCCAAACAATTTTATTAATCGATGTCTAAATAAACGAGTTCTTAGAAAAAAATCAATGTAAATAATCATTTGTTCGTTAGAATGTTATTTAATTTTGATTAAAAACTAATTTTCCAACTTTTATATTATACAAAAAAATTTTAATTAGTCTTCTTATCTTTTCTGAGTTTTGTGAATAAATTTTTTCCAAAACATGTGTTCTTATACTTTGGTTTTCCCCAAAGAAATCATTTTTTGCCCAAAAATATTTGTATATGCATAGGGTTAATGGTTTTATAATTCTGATAGGCATTATTTCTTCAGTAAACATCTTAAATTGATCTTCCACCAAAAATATTTTTTTATAAAAAAGTTACTTATTACCCTGAAATTTTTATTCTAAAAAAATAATTTTTTTTATTTTTATTTCCAAAAATAATTTTTCTCGAAACATATAACTTTCACTGCAATAATATTATTTTTCTCCACAAAATACTTGTTTTTAGTATCAGGTAAATTTTTTCTAATTTGCGTTAACATATTTTATTCCTAAAAACTGTTTTTTCGTAAAAAGTACTTTTCCCAAAAATAATCTTAAAAAGCAGCTTTTTCTAAAACTAAAACTAAAAAATTATTTCGCTACTTTTCTAATTTTGATAAAAAAAATTCTAACATTTTTTGATCAAAATAGCACAGATAGAATATATGAAATGTAAGTCTACTTAAACGTACGCAGTTTCCTTATGAGGGGACTGACTCTTTGGGAAATATGTTTCCCCTGGTACTTAAAGCGTTAAAGCAAATTTCTTAGTATAATTTTTTTAAAAACCTAAGAAAAATACTAAGGAAGTATTTTCGCAAAGAAATGGTACTCTGCGCTGTCATTGGAATTTTTGAACGATAAATAATATTAAGAATTTCTGGTATAACTTGGCATTTATTTTTAAATGATCCGCTTCGAATTTTGTTATGAATATTTTAAGTAAAAAAGGCCCGAAAAAAGTAGCGAAGACGGTCCTGAAGTTCTGAGGCTGTGGCGTAAAATTATATGTATGCCAAATCTAGCCTCAAAACGCTTAGCCTGGTCACGCTGGAAATCACTAACTCGCATACACACACCTGCAAGTTTAGCGTTTTTGTTTGCACAGTGTGTGTGTAGTGAACTTTTTTTCCACGCTTATGACCAGCGTTGCCACTTTGGTAATTTTTAACCAAAATTGGTAATTTTTTGCTTTATTTATCTAGTTTGGTAATTTATTTTTCAATTTGGTAACTTTTTCGATTCGGTCTCACATGTCAAATAGGTCAATATAGGTTCTGATTCCACATTAGTAAGTGGCCCGTAAGCATTTCCTTTTATAGAAATACCAAGTAATCCTGAAGGTTTCGCAAGGCGAAAGTTGTTCCAGCATTCCTTGGCTACTAGAATGATGTGATCTTTAACAAACTGCTTGACAGTGGCTATTGCTAAGTATATCCACCGCATCCTTTCCCGGAAGGTTTCCTGGAAGGTTTCCTTTCGCTGTCAGTTCGTCAGCTTTGCAATTACTATCAATTTACCGGTGTACCAGCAAACCATATATATGAGTAGAATTATACGTAAATATGTATGTTCTCATTCAAAAAGCTACGGCATTCAGCGGGGGACTTCACTCTGTGTGAGTCGAAAGCTTTCCTTCAAGCGTTGAATTTTTGATGTATTTTCTTGTCACTTGTTTACATACAGTGGTCGAAAAAATTATAGCCGTACCATATTTTAACAAGTTTGAACATATTACAAAAAATTACCAAACTTATTTTATGTGCAGAACTGTACAAACATACATATCCAGCCATAACTGCCAAAATAACGTAAGCGACATTTTTTTCAAAATTTTATTTTTGACGCAGAGAAAAGAAAATTTAAAAAAAAATATGTCGCTTACGTTATTTTGGCGGTTAGGGCTCGGTATGTATGTTTGTACAGTTCTGCACATAAAATAAGTTTGGTAATTTTTTGTTGAATTTGGTAACTTTTTTCGGTGATTTTGGTAAATAATAAAAAATTGTGTGGCAACACAGCTTATGACTGCTTGCAACTGAATGCTCGACAACGTAGGACGCCAGTTGCACGAGTTGTGGCGTTGGTGTCGGTGTCATGCAGTGACGTGACGCATTCAAAGCGACAAGAGCCATAGATAGCGCCTCCCCCCACCTAACAGCTATTGTGACTTCGACTCTTAACAGAGGTGGTGGGGCCTTTGAGGCTCTCTCTTTTTACTTTGACTACACACTTTTATCGTGTTTGCGGGTGAGCCCCTTTGTTTTTGCTTGACTTCCTTTGCCTTTGTCTTTTGACCATGTTCAAGTTGATTTGTGGTTGAAAGTTGCTTTGTGTTAATATACAAACGAGTATGGAAGTGAGTGTGACACAATCGTGACAAGTGAACAAAATAACAAAGGCGAAAAAAGCAAATTATTAAAAACTACTCCTACGCCGACGGGTGAAATGTGAATTAATTGTTTTTAACTGTGAAGTCGAGCAACAACGTGGAAGTTTTTGTGGAAAAAAATGTACTCAAAAGAATGTGTGAGCTGTGTGGCTCATAAAAGTATGCAATGAAAAATTACGGCCCGAGAAATTGATTAGCCTTAATTGATGGTGCTTGACGTGTGTACGTACTGGGACTTGTTTTGAAGTGGCTTTGCAGTTAGTGGTGTATGTACGTTTGTGTCACTGTGCAAGTGTTTGGGGCAAAAAAAAAATTGCCAAAAGTTGTGTATAAATGACAGAAACTTAGTAAATAGCTGTTAAAAACTTGTTTTCCTGTAGCATATGTAATTCTTAAAGCATACTTTGTGGAGCTCAATAGCAGCAAGCCACTATGAAATCCTTGACCTGAGCCAATGCCATCGCTGAACACTTTAACAAACTCAGCAAGTCATAGCAATGGCGGCGAGACAAGTTCATGTAACACCAGCGACAACAACAATAACAAAAAGAGCTATAATGCAACAACAATAACAATGACAAATGCGAAAACAAATACTTCGTGTTGCACTTAAGAGAAACGAATAAAGAATCATCAATGTCTAAACTACAGTTATTCTATGAAAAACGACGATTTCCTGCGCAAATATTATCCTGCAGCAGAAGAAAATTTCGCACATTTCTATGCAAATGGATGCGCGTACGTGGCGGCGTTGCGGTTGCTGGATTTGTTGTGGAAAATTTGAGGCACACAGGGCTTACATAAAAAAAAATAACAGCAAATTAAATGCAATACAAACAGCAAAAGCCACTATAACAACAACAACAACAACAACAACAGCAACGGCAACCCAGCAGTTAGCGTTTACGCTAAAAACAAAAGCGCACAGCAACCACAACAACAGCGCAGCAGCTGTGCGTGTAATAAGTTTAGCATACCAACAACGAAAAGCGGCGGGGAGATTGGCGTGTCAAAGGAAGAATAAGTGGCCACAAACACAGCTGACTTTTGCGGCAGCAACCGGAAGCTGTAACCATAGCCGGATCAACGTTAACCGATCCCACCTGACAAGCGTTCGTTTCACTTTAACTCTGATTTCCTATGCTAATGTTGCGCTTGTTATTTTTGCCCTAACGGAGTTACCCTTTGCTGGCAGCTATAATCCGAACGTGGTAGTAGCTTTTGCGGCAACAGCAGCAGCAGGAGCAACCATTCAACAAACTCAAACGCATCTACCAGCAGCCAATTTTTTAGAATTTGTTGTTGGAAGCGAACATTTGCCACAGCAGCTCGCACCGTTAACAACAATGGGCTCCTGTTTCGGGCGTTGTATGGCAAAGGATGCACTTGGCGGCGGCGGCGGCGGCAGCGGCAGCGGCAGCTCGACCAGCACCACCACCGCAACATCCTGTTTGTGGTAAGTGACGCGCGTTTGTGCTTAATTAAAATCTAATTGCATTGGTTGGGTATAATATGGCTGCTCCGCAACGTGCTCGTATGGATGCAAATTGATGTACGCTTAAACATGCAAACATACATACACATAAATACAAATGTATGAGTGTTTAAAATTGCGCTGTGTGCACGCCAAATTGGTAGAAAATTTAATTTTCTCTAATTCAGCAAAAGTATTGTTATAATACATGCACCCATACATTCATTTTTGATCTATAAGCAACTTAGTCCTCGGTGTAGGTAAAATATGCGTTAACCCAGTATGAAATCTGTAGCTTCTTCTTGTGTAACCCAGCAGAAAATGTGTAATTACTTCTTGTATGTAAAGATGAGCATTTTTGGACCAGCACAGAGCTATTGCAGGATCATTTCGATACTGGTTTTCGACTAATTGGGGACCATTTCGGCACTAGTTCGGGATCATTTCGGAACCTGTTCAGAACTATTTCAGGGCCATTTCGGGACTAGTTTGGGATCATTTCGACACCGTCTCGGGACAAGATCAGGACCATTTCACGACTAGTTCACGGTTATTTGAGAACCAATCTGGGGCTATTTCAGGTCCATTACGGGATAGTTCCGACTATTTCAGGACTATTTATGGAACATATCGGTATTATCTCGAGAGCATTTCGGGACTAGTTCGAGATCATTTTGGGACTACTACGGAACCATTTTGGAACCATTTGTGGACTTCTTGGATATCATTTCAGAGCAAGTTCTCGATATTTTCACTTCTAGACTACTTCAGGGCAATTTTAGGACTATTTTAGGATCACTTCAGACTTGTTCGGAATCGTTTCGGGAGCAGTTCAGAACTTTGTTAGGGTCATTTCGTGATAATTTCGCGGCCAGTTCACGGCTATTTTAGGAATATTTCAGGTCCATTTCGGGATAGTTCACTGCAATATTAGGCCCCTTTCAGACCTATTTCAGGTCCATTTCGGAACCGTTTCGGGACTAATTACGGCAATTTGAGCACCATTTCGGGACTAGATTAGGACCATTTCAACACTACTTCCCGGCTATTTGAGGATAATTTTGGGGCTATTTCAGACCCATTTCGGGATCATTCACGAATATTTCAGGACTATTTAGGGAACATATCGGTATAAGCTGCGGACGATTTCGGGACTAATTCGAGTTCGTTTTCAGGTAGTAAAGGCCCATTTCCGGACCGTTTCAAGACTTGTTGGAGAAAATTTCGGTACAAGTTAACGACTTTTTCAGAACCACTTTAGGACTGCATCAGGAAAGTTTTAGGTCTAGTATGACGAACTACTTTGGGGTAGTTCGAAATCAGTCACAAAATGAACCTGAAATAGTCCTGAACTATTCGCGAAATGGTTAGAATAAAATCGCCCACTGGACCCGACAAAATGGATAAAATGTAATGAAATTAATGTTCAATTTGTAACCAAACCTATTTATATATGCATGTACATATGTAGCTGAATCGTCCAATGATTTCCACAACTGTTACTCACGCGTTCTTTATATACTCAGAGACTAGTCCGAGTGCAGTACATTTGGGTATTTATTACCCAATTAATCAAATACATTTCTAATGGGGCGGGAGTATTCGCCCAGCAAGCTTACTATCACCGGTTAGAATCGCACCTACCTGGAACTAGTTTCTTTTCATATTAGTTTGGGTATAAAGGGGAACACTTACTGTCTTCATAGGACATGCTCGAACAAAACTGAACAGTTCCATTCCATATAAAGAGATCAAAAGTTGTATCGCATTTTTACATTAAAGTGGCATGAATAACGCACTCAGAAACATTTAAAAAGAAAGAAGAACAGGCAGATCAAATATAATTCGAAATGTGTTTGTGTGCCTATCTACCCCAGCTGCTCGACCTTTATTCCCATGGCCACAAAGTAATATGATGACTTCACAAGTACACCCCTTACCTTCTGGCTTTTCTGTTACTTTGCCAGCAAGGGCAACTGTATATGTTTGCATTTTTACTCATCATTTTCCGATTTCTACATCTTCATTTACTCAAGCGCAGTTTATTCAACGCCTTCGCCTGCAGCATCTTCCTATTTTATGTATACTCGTAAATACAAGAGATTGCCAAAGCTCTCCTTAAGCGTACTTTGTTTAACCTTCAAGTATCACGTTTCTGGTTATTTTAACTTCTTGCAAATTAATTGCACATACATACATACATATCTACATACATACAGTCAGGAAAATGTGCCTAAGCTTTTACTGTGTCTACAATATATTTGTTTGCTTTCTGCCCCAGCAACCACACTCCCGTCGATTCCCTTGCGCTTTTTAATTTGTCTGCTGTTGCTAATAAAATTAAGCTACACTCTGTTTTATAGATATTTTAACTCATTCCCCAGAACGTAGATAATTGAATTGTGGTAATTTCAAAAGAACTCACAGGTTCATTAAAAACTTGAATTAAAGGGCGTCCGTTATCTCTGTTCAAGCTCTTTGAAGAAACAGCACACGTTTTAGCTTGCTGCTGAGTCTAGAATTTGCGATTTACGAATTCTCTAGGCGTGTACCTCCCTTCGTTGGTAAGTTAGAAAATTGGGGGTATCCCTAACATTACATATTCTAAGATTATTGCTTAATAACAATTCGAAAAGTGACTCACCTCGATCGTCTGTGTTCCAGCTGCCCCAAATATGATGATGGGCATTCGCTTGCTTGCTTCGATTATTAGCTGTGTGACTAGTGCTGGCCATGTGCCATGTATCACGAGGCAATCAAAATTTTCCTTCCTGAGGTTTCTAGTGCGGCCACTGTGGTGTCTGCATCGCTGAAGTGTGTCAGAAAGTAGACATTAATATTTTTCTTTACTAATTAGTCACAGCTTGGTTTACCTTTGTCTCTTGTATAGATCACCTGATAATCTTTACTGCTTAAGCCGCAAACACGATCTTTGATGACCCAAGGTTCTTGGATAAGCACGTTGTCCTCTTCCCTTTGAGGGAGACGGGGGAGTAGTGCGGCTGACGCCGCTTTGCTGTGGTGGAGATTTATTTCTGATATTGTTTTCAATATGTCTGGCCGGACGTCCTATGACCATACAATTGGCATCATCAGCCTCAGATAATGGAGGAATGCCCTCTTCGTCAAGGCCAAGTTTATCGGTCAGCGATCTGACGTCGTCTGACCTATCGCTGAGAGCGATACACTCAAAGTGCTGACCCACCGTGTCGCAGCTGGACGCGACTTCGCAGTCCATAGAGCATTCGGTTTGTTCGACATATCGACCCTTAACCACCAAAATAACGTAAGCGAAATTTTTTTCAAAATTTTATTTTTGATGCAGAAATTTTCCTAGAGTATGTAGATGCATTTCTGCATAAAAAAATTAAAAAAATGTCGCTTACGTTATTTTGGCGGTTAAGGCTCGATTTCCTGTCGATAAACATGGCGCTTGAAAGCCGTAGTTCATCCTCCAATTGAGGTTGGATAAGGAGGTAAGTGATTCGTTATTGAGAACCATCACTGGCACTCTTCGCCTGCCCATTGGCTCCTCCAACTTCACAGCCTTCCGGTCATGAGTTGGAAGCTCGGAGCTTCCCAGCTACCAGGTCCCAATTTACAGCGTATCGGTCGATCACAGCATAGAAGAGCGATTCCCCCGCCACGTCGGCAGAGGATTTTTTGCGCTCCTTGTTTGTTTGCTCCTCCGTGCGCTTCCACTTTTGGAGGTCAGCTTTAGCTTTTTCCCGATGATTCTCCAGGAAAGATTCTGCTCAAGCCTTAGAGCTGATTTGCTCTGCGGTTCAGTCCTCTTGCTTTGCATCTTTCAGCCTATTGGCCAGTATGCAGCTCTCAAGAAAACTGTCAAGAAAAAAAGTCGATTATTTCGTGTGTGTGTCCAAGGAATTTTGACATCTGATATTTCACCAGGCTCTTGCCTCACTCTTTCTTCAAGAAATAATAGAACGGGTATATATTTCTCTTGCAAGCAAGGGTTGCCTTGTGCTCTTTTTTCACAAAAACGACACCTCTTAACTATGCAACTAGTAGTTACGCTTATCCCATAAATAACTACTTCAAAATATAAACTCAGACATTGATCCCACTTGACTGGCTATGCCAAAATTTCATGTAGTCCTGAATAAATCAAAACTCACTACATAACAGCACAAGCTACGCTACCACGCCTAATTGGGTCACCTCGGGCAGCGAATGCTTTTAGCCAACCAGATACAGACCGCACTGTGCCACCATTTCACAGCACCAACAAGCAGACACAATAAAATTTTTGGCAGACTGCATTAGATAGTAAACATACATACATATGTACCTACCTAAATACTTAGTTGCAACCGCAAGCGCCTTAGCTTAACATAAATATCACTTATCTCTGCACGAACACACAACAACAGTGGCGCAAAAAGTGCATCTTCAGCCACAATCAGATGAGACATACTTGAACTGCTGACGAAAACGATGCAACAGCGTCTAAACCGGCGCCGACTTGCACAACTGCCAGCCATTGTGGGTAGGGTAGAGATGTGGCACTTACAAACAGGTTATGCTATGATATGCTAAATACATATATGTAAGTAAATACTTATGAGTTCAGTGGCCTGAAAATGTACTATGTACAAATGTTTGACATGCAACATGTTTTCTCGCTGTAGAACCGAAAGAGGAGCGAGGGAAAGATGTACGATGCTCATTAACTGCATTGTTTGCCAGCGTACTATGTTTAGCGCTATATAACATTGCAACAACCCCTTTTGCAAGCACAAATGCATAAACATATGCTCTTTTTTCTACATGCACATGAGTATATTAAATTTAATGTGTTGGTGTTGATATTGATGGTGGTTTGCGTTCATTCACGTACGAGCATGCTAGCGGCAGCAATTTTTTATTTGTTTTCACCTTTTGAGCATATGTTATGCATTCATTGCATATGAACAAAGTGAGTGTTGTCTACTTTTAGGCGTCAACAACGTGCAACAGATGAACAAGAAGCGGAACTCGTATCGAATGCGAGCGACAAATGCCCGAGAGAGAATTTCATATATCGAATTATAAAGTTTAAAACGAAGGTGAGTATGCGAATTGTCGAATTAATTGGAATTTAAAATTTAAAATTGAACTTAACTATTAGTTAAAAATATACTGGTCTAAATCTAGAATATAAGCTATGAAGCGTTAAATAAGCATATCGTGATGCAAAAATCAATTCAAGCTATTTAAAATTTATATTTTTGTAACTAATTTCATCTGCTAAAAACACAGGTTTGAATAGCTTTTTGGTCCCGAAAGGCAAAATTGTTTAAAAATCAAAATTTTCGCAATTGACGGAATGTTACTCTGTTACCGATTTTTACTCCTTATTCATATTCATAGCAAAAACGGCCACAGTTTATCGACAAATTCTGGGAACAGCAAGACATGCAATACACAAAGCTATCCAGTAGAAATGGAACTCAGAGGTACGCATTTTCTACTTTTATGAAACCTAGCCTAACTTCACCTAACTTTATCAAATTTTACTCAATCATATCTAACCTAACCTTAACCATGTCCTCCTTTTATTTATCTATCTTTCCCAATTCGATACTGTCAAAATATATCCTATCTTATCTTATCTCATCTAAACCTATCCTATCATATCCTTTTCTATTCTATCCTATCCTATCCTACCCCATCCATCATCTCCTCTCCTCTCCTCTCCTCTCCTCTCCTCTCCTCTCCTCT